GGCTGGAAAATGCCAGCGTTTATTGCCACAGTTTCTGCTGTATTGCTCTTCATTCATTTCCATTATTAAAGTTTCCTTCCTTTAAGAATATTTCTTTTCTCCTTTCTTGAAACTGAGTATCTCTCGGGGTCATTCCAGGGCATCATTTCATTTTAATTGCAAGTTCAACATCAATACTCAGCTCATATTTCAGAAGCTCTCAGTTTATGTCAGCTTCTTCCAAAGTGAATGATAATACATTGCTGTGCAATGAGCTCACATGCAGATGTAATCCAGAATTGAAGATTTCATCAAGACTTTTCCCTTAAAGTTCTCTTTTATTTTTGCCTCTCCAGAGCTTTTTGCCCTCTGCTGAATGGCACAGGCAGAAGCCAGCTCAGAGCACAGCCAAGCTCCAAATGGTTCTCTCTCATAACTTACTTCTCAGTATGAGAGTAAGAGTTTCCTTCTCCCTGCTTCCCTCAATGGAAAGGAAGTCACTTCTGTGGAAACACCTCTGAGTGTATAGTGGGCAAAGACACTCTAAACACTAACCTGGGTTGCCAGGTTCAGGGTAAAAGGGATAGAAAATTAAAGGACAAATGCCAAAGAAGAATTTATGATGCCAGGATAAACCAGGTGGATTTCACAGAGGCCAGGTGCCTCAGCATTAAAAAACAGCTGCAGGCCATCTGGAGTCACTTGGACCAGATACCTGTACACAGACCTGCATCAGATAAGCACTTGTATCTCAAGCAAGTTCCCAGCTATTTGACTCCCACCTTTGCTGGCCAGCTCAGCTAAGGCTGAGGGCAAAAGGGAGCATAAAAAAAAACAAAAACAAAAACAAAACCAAAAAAAGATAGCCCCTCTCATCCACTGCTTGGCCTTTCCAGTGCAAAGGCATTGCCACCAGAGCAACACCTCCAGGTGACCAGAAGACAAGTGAGAGACTTCAGCGTGGGTGGGTAGGATCACAAGTCTTACAGGAAGCTGTCTTGATACACTGGCTTCAGAAGAACAGCAAGGAACAGAAGACAAGTGTGTTCCAGGCTGAAAGAAAAGCTATGTACATATACATGATTCAAGAGCTCAGGAGGAGAGAGGATGTGTCTGAGTTTCAGCAGAAATGGTGCAATGGAATTAAGAGAAAATTGCAAGGCAAGCACTGGCAGCTGCTCTTGTCCCTCACATTGCTGGGTAACCTTTGAAAGAGATGAGAACCTCTGCTCTAGACTGGGAAAACCAAAAAGAAATACTGAGTAATACTAAAATCTTCATATGGGATAGCTTCTCCCTGTCCCCCAAACAAACAGTTTGCTTACAGCTACTGAACATACAGCAGGCATTCATTTTATGAAACTAGTCTAGTGGTCCATGTTATTCATAAGGCCAGAATCAGAGGATTCACAAGATCCTCTCTGGTCTTAAAATATATCCAGCAGAGAACAATCTGTCATTGACTGAACATTTGAAAACTAATGACCTAACTAGGCTCCTCCTCACTACCATCATCCCCTGACTTACAGTTTCTATAATTCAGTGGATGAAATCCACATTTCATTTTTTAGTTCAGGAAGTTTCAAACAAATGCCTTTACATTAACATTTCTGATAGTTAACCAAATGGAATAAATACGTCCCTCTGCAACAGCAAGTGGAGAAAGAAGAGAGGAGGCCTCTGCTTGCAGCCAGCAAGTTTTGCCTTGAATGGAAAGAATGTGAGCAAGACATTTTCCACAGATGTTCACGGAAAAACATTTCAGAGCACTACCACATTTTGAGCCTATTGTGGCAGGAAACACTGAAGTTTCATGTGTGCAGTCCCCAGCTCATATATAAAAAGCTTACAGGCCTCCTGCCATTCAGATAGATCCCATTGCACAATGTATATATGCACGCTAAAAACCGTCCTTGAAACACCACTCAACCCAGATCTGGGAGGGAGTCAAACTGGAGGGAAGGATTTCCAATCCTAACAAGTCTACCCACCCCCTATGAAAGGGGAATCAATAAAAACAACCGAGAAAAATTCTTTCTACCACTAAAACCTTCAGGTAAAACTGTTGAAGGGCTTCCTTCTGCTGAAAATACTGTTTCTGTATTGATCACCTCTCCACTTCATCCCCCATGGTGCAAGCTGAAAATGCTGTCGAAGTGCAAACCTCCAAAGTAGGGAGGAGAGCGGAATACTGTTTTTCAAAATTATACCGCCTTATTATATCCCTTCCAGCAGTCATAGTTCAAATGTCTTTGTTATACTCGGAGAACCTCAGAAGTCAGTGCAATTAGACTCATTAACAGTTTTCCTACCAAGGACACACTCTCTCCTAAGCTACTCATCACATCCCCACCCTGCCTTTAACTCAGGATTTAGCAGAGCGGTGCTCCTCAGTTTATACTGTCGCCTGGAGAGCTGCATGCCCTTGGTTTTTCTGACACTTCCCTATTAGTATCTTCTCTCCAATTTTGGGGAGCTTCTCATTCTCCCTAGAAACCACTAGCTACCTCAGCAGTTCTGCCTTTCACCATTCCCAGAGAAAATCTGGCACCAACTTCTTCTGAAGTGCAAGTTTGGCAGCTGCCTGTACCACAGGATGGAAGACAAGGGTGTGATTATCTAAGCTGGGCTTTTATAGCTGCTCCACGACTTTGCCATTTACCTCTAGTTCCCCGACTCAGTCTCAGTTTACATCAAAGACAGAACACCTTAGCAAACAAAACCAGAGTAACACTCAGAAAACATCTTCTGTCTTGTCTCTCCGATTCCAAGTAATTTTCCAAATAATGATTCCACAGTTATAACTGTGCTCACCACACGTCCTCATCATGCTCAGAGAGCAAGAATATCCAAATAATAACTGAAGGACAAAAGGTTCATCCATCAATTGAAGAAAGGAAGATATTTCAAGCCAGATTTTCCTACATGCCAAGATTATTTTGGGAAGTAGCGCTCCAGTAAATTGTGCCTGGGATCTCATTTCTCCCTTCGTTCTTTTGTAAAGAATGACAGGCTGACACTGCTTTAGGACCATCCCTCTCCCTGCTCCAGCCCTGCTACTGGAATTCACACATTCCCAGAGCAGTTCTACAGATTGCTTCCCTTTCTTCACTCCATACTCCCGAAATCCTATCTGTGTGAAGAGGCTGGGAGTAGAGAGTGACAGCAAAAAGAAGTCAAGACTGCAACACGCACACTTCCCTCCCTTGCATAGCTCACAGGTTTCCTTCTGAACCATGGATATTAAAAGCATCCTGCCAAAATTTTTGGATGGGAGTTCAAAGTGACATAACACAAGCAATATTGGGAGAGTCACCAACCACGAATTTTGTACAGGAAAGCCTCCACGTAACAGCTTGGAGGGAAGGGGTTTAGGTCAGATTTAATTCTTGCTGGTTTCTTGCATCACCCCTTTGCAAATGCTGCTCTCCCACTGTGTCTGACCCAGATATCAAGGGTAATAAGGCTAAAACCATAGCCCATTAAACCATCCTGAGAAGACAATAAATCTACAGCAATATTCATCTGCAACAGTGCTGCTCTAAGAGGCATGGGGAACACAGCCAACTAACATGTTTTCAGAACAGCAACCTAGCATAAAACTCAACAAAAAGCCAATCAGAAATTACCTAAAACTGAAAGAACCGTTGAACTGACTCAATGTCCTCTTCTCTGGCCAGCTTAGATTAGGCTGCATCTTCATTAGGGTTTGTATCAGTATGCTACATTTCAAAGCTTCTTACAAAGTGATGTCCTCATTGCAAGGCTGTCCCCCTATGCTCAGCCCTTTTCCCAGGGTGCCTCACAGAAGGAAGTTCCATTTCTAGAAGTCACTTCATAGATAACAATTACCATAGTTAGATAAAAATTACCATAGTTAGGGATGCAACTAGAGGTCAGGCTGCTCTTGCCTAGTCACAGGCCCATCTTCTAAAAAAAAAAAAAAAAAGCCAAAAAAACTACAGCCCCGCTATTATAAGCGGAATAACTCATGAAGAACAGGGGATGTGAGGAGAGACCTTCTCCCAAGCTGTGCTTGTGAATAGGAAATGAGGGAGTGCCAAAGGTTTGAGATAAAGCAGCTAACTAGAGAACTCCAACATAGGATGCACCTTTAGGCTACACTGAGAAGTCTTCAAAACTGCTCAAGAAGTCACCAACTTGGTTTATCAAATCACAAGATGAGTCCTTCACTCATAAGTGCACCACCATTATAAAAACAACTCCTGTGGCACTTCCTACCCACATAGCATGACAGGAAGACAGTGCTAACGTGCATCTCCGAAGATCCAAACCAATGCTGTCGCTCTCTCCCTCCCCCCAGACAATATACCAGAACAGGCACAATTCTCTAGAAAAATCTCAACAGGCAGGCTATGTTATAGCTGAAGGTGAGGGTTTCAGCAAGGATGTGAGGAACAGGATGCACTTTTGGGTACTGAAATTCATCCCAATTTGTGGAGCTTTGTAGACCAGCCACAAGGGGCCTCTAAGGTCTTCCAGTGGCAGGATACACTTGCTGAGATGGCTGAAACGTTACCATTGTCTTGACCTGACCATTTTCTGCAATTACACCAACAGGAAGGTGTGCTCAGGCAATTTAATGTTATGCTAATCAAGTCTGTTTTGGAACAGAAATCCAGTTTATATTAATATTCTTCCAGAGCGGCCACTGCCTAACAGCAATCTAGTGATAAAGCCAGCAAATGTAGCAGCAGTTATACCTTACTGAGAACGAGCTCTGAGCCTGCAGGACCACAAAAGGTGCATTAGTAAAGAAAAACCCAGGGGTTATGATTACAGCCAATTCATTAAACATCTTTCTGTAAACAATCGATAGCACAAAGGACACCAATACCACCAAAGACAACAAGCATAACTTTCAGCCATCACACCATCTGGAGACCCCTTCCATCTTCCAAAGACAAGTATTTCCCAGAGACAGGGAAACCACTGGGAGAGCATCACAGAACTCTCTCCCTTTCTGACTTAGACACACTGCTGCCAGATCCTATACCAACCTGACATCTGGAAGTCTATCTGGATAGGGTTGGATAAGCCATTCACTGCTTCACGCCACATACCACCACCACCTGGAGACCAGGCAGTTACTACACAGCGATACAGCCCAGCATCAGAAATCTGGGTCTGATACATCCTGTAGCGGAACTCATTCTCCTGGACCTTCTCCAGAACCACACCATCCACACGGGTCTGGTCTGTCCAGTCTTCCAGCCGCACTACTGAATCCTGGTTCAAGGAGATTATGCGAGTGGTTCCATTGGGATTCGACTGATCCGTTAGTGGCTTCTCAGCTGTGATGAGGACAGAATAGCGTGGTGTCTTGATGTTTTTTGAAGACACTTTGCATGTCATCTCAAAGGTGTGGCCTGCTACAAAGAATGGCTTCAATTTCACCGCCTCCACTGTAAGCGTGTAATCTGAAGAGGGAAGGAAATAAGCAGCAAGAGAGGGGTTAATAAACAGGTGCAGATATTTCTGCAACACTTTTCAAACTAGAAAATTACAAATAAGCAAAGTACTTTTTTGGAGAGACAAATGCCAGCACGTTTATCTAAACACATATGGGCATCCCAGAATGCTACTCAACAGCGCGCACACATCAGTACACAACACTTTGGATCAAGATGCACAATTCAAACAAACACCAAATGCTGAATAGATAATGCAATACATAGGTCATAGCATGACAGGACCTCCAGGACTTTTTTTTTTTATTCAGGCGTAAAGATATTAGTGGGACAAGACTCACTCAGTTTTACACTGGACCTACAAAAAGCACCCTCAGCGGCAGAATACAAGGACACTGCTGAAGTATTCACGACTAGCGACAAAAGCTGCCACTAACCCAATTGGCAGCGCTTAGTGTAGCTTCTTTTATTTCCCTTGGAAATCCACCCCAGCAGCAATCCAGACATTCAGCTGAACTCCCAAGACCAGCTGAAATTGCATGTCAAGTAAGTTGGTGGTAACAGGAGAAGTCTCCATTCCCAGCACCCCCATCTATACATCTCTGTGTTGAAAGTGTTAGGTATACCTCTGCCTCCATATGTGTTCTTTTCCCTTGCTTCTCATGCATTCACCTGAGTACAAGCCTACCAGAATCCCTGACACTTCCCAACAGCCCATTTGGCATCAAGAATGCCAGCAACGCTTACTGATCAGATTCCTTCCCTTTCTTTGGCATTCTCCAAGTCTGTCGACTCCTCAATCCCAAGAATCCCTTAATTACAGGGTTTGGGAAAATTATACCTCTAGGAGCACAACCCCAAGACACAAAAAAATACAAGCTCGCAGTGAGAAATTGAGAAAATGAGGAGTGAAATCAGAACCAGACTAAAAGGAAAGGGAGTTTCCTGGCACTGTGATGAAGAGACATCCTGCACACCCAGGTTATTTCTAAGAAAAGGAGGGCTGGGACAGAATTCACAGCTTACAGCCACTTCTCAAAGTAGCAGTATTGCAAAAATACAACCAGCCTGACTTTCTGGATTTACTTTGCTGCAGCATATTCTCCCTTCCTCGCTTTATAAAAAACAAGTGCAGACAAGTTAAACTATACAGATCACCTTTATGCAAGGTGAAACTTCTCAGGAAAAAGGAAATAAGCAATGGCGAGATCGTTACACATTCCCCAAAACTGAACTAAATGCAGTAATATTTATGCCCTCCCTACAAGAGCAACAAGATACTTGTCAAGATTACATTTTGCAGTGTTTTGCCTTCAAGCAGCAGTTTTCACAATGAGTAAACACAGCCCACAAGATGAGAAACCCGGTATGACAACTTTAAATCAGTACTGTACAAAGCAGATCACAGTACAAAGCTATATAAAGAAACAGCAGGAGCGGCAAAAGCTGAGCTGCTTCTAGTGGTCTAGCTGAGCAGAGAATTACTTGATACTCCACACCAAAGCCCCCTCACACTTCCACCCACTAAGCAAGTGGAAATACAAGACTTGCATTTAGGCACTCAGGGTAGAATCACAATTAAAGTTGCGCACACAGTTTTTCCTCTACTCCCTTATGCGAGAACTCATCATGCAACTGATTCCAGACTTCAAATCCATTTTTTCCTCATTCTGTGTCCATGAGAATCTGATATCACTCTCTTCATAAGATTGCAGCATTTAGGAGCCCAGCACGTATCAGCTTGCCACATATTTTAGGAATATAGTGGACAATTATATTTTGCCCCAAGAGCAGAAGCACGAACAGCTAGCCACGCTTTTCTGTGTCCCCTGCAAGGACAGAGCGAACTTTGTTCCTAGACATCCTTTCTTGACTTTCCATTTGAGGGCAATAGAAAACGTTGCTTTTACCAGTTATTTTTGCTAAAGAAAAAGGAGAAAGGAGTGGTGGTAGCATGGGACAGCAGCAGAAATGCCATCTGTAGAGTTTGTAGAAGAGAACATCTGAGGCCAAGATGCAGCTGGAGAACAGTGGTAGAATTCAAACAGTTAGAAATTAGGATGCTGAACAGAGAACTGAGAGATATATTCTTATGAAAGTCCTTTCAAAAGATTTTTCTATCTTTTAAAAACCCAAAGCTCCTTAGGTTGGATGACTACAGAAGGCGGCAGAGGCATCTCCTCTTATGTGAGGCCATAAGAAACACAGGCCAGAATAGAAAAGGGGACACAAAACCCATTGCATACAGATGCTGATGTTTCTTGTTGCAAGAAAGTCAAAAAACATCAAAGGAACATTTCTGAATCTGCAGTAAGATTAGAGACCTGTGTAGTAAAGTAAAACAAATAAAAGCCCCATACCCTATCAACTAGAAAAGCCTGGATCACCATTCTTAACAGTACGGTTCTGTGCCAAAATTGTTCTCCTTCAGCAGCAGATGTGAAATGTAATTAGCAGTCCATCACCTCCACCTAGAAAAGCATGTGGTTGTCTCTGCATGCAATAGTGCACGTTATGAGAAAGAGGAGAGACCACAGATTTGGCACATAGGTTAGAAATAACAGTAATTTGCAAGGAAAGTTAAGTGGGAAAGGAAAGTTTCTTCATGTTTCCTATGTTAACAGAAACTACTCATCAGATCTCACAGCATAAGATGGGCCAAAGAGGTCAAAGAACATTTTCTTCCAAAAACTACAGCCTAAGATGTCACTTCTAATCTGAGAATTGCCAAAGCAGCAATGTCTGTGTCTTGACTGCTACTTTGCACGCTTGCCCCTCTGCACACAAGCCTGCAATCCCATGCAGAGAGTCTCCTCTCCTTCTTGTAAAGCCCCATAAATGAAAAACACAATAAAACACACCCTGGTCAGTCATACACAGGAGGCTGCAATCTGCAGAGTTTATGTTGGAAAGTGGTAGGGGAAGAGATCCTAAGTAAACCCTACCCAAAGCTTATAACCAGTTTGGGAGCTACTCCAAGACAGAGGGCTAGCAGCAGAAGAAACTCTAGCCAAACAATTCAGATAAAATTTGAGTAATAAACTGTACTTTGGAGCCTGGCAGTGCATGCTTCTGCCTTCCTTCACTAGCCAGTTCAAGTGGTTAAGCCACACTATAATTCTCCTGTTGTTCTCTACCACAAAGTGCATGCTCAGCTTCAAGAGTACTTCCTGAGTAGTAACCAAAAAGAGTTTTCACCTAATCTAAGCCAGCCAAATTGCTAGAAAAGCCTAACAGCTACAAGGGCAAGGAGACTTTAGGAAAGAGCAAACACCTTCCCTGCACTCCACTGACTCCAGCTGGAAAAGCAGCACAATGGCCACAGCTAAAAGTAACCTCAGAGCCTAACATCTCATCAGCAGCCTCAAGTAATGCCATCTCAATATTCATAAAGGCTTCTTCATCCCCCAGTGCACTAGCTAGATTGCAAGTACGAGGAACACAACAGACATTAAGGTAATGACAGCTTTGCCTACGTAGGAGGCGGCAGTTACACAACACCCTGAGGTACAATTGTAGCCCCAGCAGCTCTAGTACCAAGAGCTCTGAAAATACAGCAGGCACGCTGAGGCCTGCACCACAGCCCGATACGCATACATATGACGCAATGGCTCTCCCCACTGCTGCACACGCACAGCTAGGCCACTCTCACCGGCCAGCTCCCCTACCAAGCAAAGAGCACAAACACTTCACCCTCAGGCAGCCATGGGCATGAGGAGCCCAGACACTCCTGACTGGGGCTTGCACACCTAATTGAATGCATTTTCTTGTTCCTACACCCAAACTGGCACAGATACCTGGCAGCTTGGTGCCATGAGTATGGGAATTTCTTTGCCCAAGAGGAACTGCATGTCTGTCGTATGCAGTGTCTATTATACACCAGCAATGGTGAAGACAAGCAGGTGACAGAAGTATCACCTGTTCTCTATTTGCAGGACTTTCTGAAAGATTAAGATGCCCTTGCTCCCAATTTAATGTCATAGGAGGGCCTAGGCAAGCTTTTAGGATAAGTAACATTATGCTAAATACAATTATTTTGTAAAATAAAGACAGAAGTATTAACAAAACCTCAAATAATAGTATCTTTGGGATTTGAAATTTCAGTTAAAAGATGACAATCTCTTTTGCAAAGACCTCCAGGCAGATCCAAAGTTGACAACACCAGTTTAGGAAACACACACCAATTCTGCATTTCATTGCAAACAGCAACTGTGCTTTAAATATAGGCAGTACTCACATTCAAATTAATAAATAAAATTATCAAACTTTTTTCTGGGTTGAAAATCACCTACAGAGCCACCCAAAAAAGGTTTCCTCCCTTCCTTTACCCCTTTTTATTGACTGGAATTTTTAGTCTAAATAAGCAAAAGAAAAACAATACAATTTATGCTTTTCATGTTTGAGGTGAGATAAAGATGCCTGCCTGTGTTACCTTGGCAGGCAAGAGGGTAGAAGAAAGAAGGGAAGAAACAAATCAGGCAGACCATGTCAAAAACAATGGTGATCTATGATAGCGACTGGCTGCATTTCCAAAGCTGAGTAAGCAGAAAGACATGTGAGCATTACTGGTCCCAACAGTACAAAATAGAAAAATAAGATAAAAAACCTCACTTTAAAATGGGCAAACATACAACTTACTATACAACACACACAAGAAGGACTTTGACATCTTCATATTGATGTTTACATTTTAAGCAAAGGCATCCTTATCCTGAACACTCCTCTGTGCTGATTGATCCACAGACACAACAAAATCAACACTTCTTTTCTCAAAAACTCAGAACAACCTTTTCCAAAGTGGGATTTCTCTGAAGTCGTCCTCCCCGAGCACTGCTCTAAAGTTAACACAGAAAATGCAAGTAACGAAATAGTTGGAATAAAAGCCTAGATCTAGCTAGGCACAGGCTATCCAAGGAAGGAGCAAATTTCTGTTCTCTCCTTAGGCAAACACGTGGGAGCCTGGCTGCTTGCTTTTATAAGCACTGGGAGCAGTTAGGGACTCAAATCACCAGATACTTGTCAAAACAACAGTCAGAGAGCAGAGGCAGCAGCAGATTAACTCCTTCATAGCTGCTGGCTGCAACACTGGGCTCACAGCCGAGTCTGGAGATCATATGAACAGCATATGGCAGGGGACAGGGCATGCACAGAAAGGCATCTGGGGCTAGACTGCTGAAAGGGGAGGGCACGTGAGGGGCAGAAGTAAAGAAGGGGGAAATCAAACCTATATATTGCCCCCTCCCCTCCTTATATAGACAACACATGCTTTTTCAGGAGAAGGTGTTTGTAGGAGAGCTCACTTTCACATCATAAATCCCCCAACTCCAAGTTTTGCCAACAAAACGTAGTTTTCAGCACAGGGACTATAACATTTACATTTGTGTTGCAAAATTAGCAGAGTTTTTGGAATAAAACCAGAAACAAGGGAATGTTCACACCTGTCACGGTTTGTTTTCCCTCAGAAATGTCAACACAGGCTGAGACTTTTCAACTCCAGCTGGTGTCTCTAGCTGCTTGGAAGGTGATGATCCATTACACATGCATGCACATACACACACACACTCCGTGTTGTGGCATAACAACCGAACTAATTGTGATGCCTGCCAGCCTTTCTTGAGCAAAACTTACAGTGGCTTCAGGAAAAAAAAAAAAAAAAAAAAACACCACACACACCACACACCTTTTCATGGACCATAATTGGTCTGAGGATGAAGGGAGTACTGAGCAAGCAGCCCACCATTTCTCTCTCCACTGAAGTAGAATCACAGCAGAAGCTCTCCAATTCACCCCTAAACAACTTTAAACTGATTTCCAATTGCTTGTCTACAAAATATAGTTCTCTGCCTGCGCCTGCCTGAGCTAGACTGTTAAACAAATCTATCAGGATAAATGCAGCTTAGCTAAGCACAGATTTTTGCCAAAGACCTTACATCCTAGGTTATCCTGTTCCTTCTGTCCCTATGCAACAGACCCTCTTGCATCAGCCAAAGCCATGCTTCATACCGAAGCCAAAACCCTATCACTCTACAGGACATCCAGAATACATACACATATTTTAAACCAGCGTTAAGTGATTCAGGTAACTCTAGTGTCTAAGAAATGCTCTCAGAGTCAGTTTAAATACTGACCTGTGCTAGTTCACTTCCACCTAAAAAAGGCCCAGATCCAAGCAAATCTCTGTTCTGCCACCCACTTATTTTTTGATACTCTGGTACTACTATGCCCATGAACTTCCTCAGAAGTGCCATCTAAACAAGGGCTTGTAAGAGAGAAGAAAAAAAACACCTCTCAAACTGGCAGACAGAAGACAAAGCAAGTGGCATTCCTCTGTTCACCTCAAGACAACCTTGTTGCTATCAGAAAGATGCATCCTAGAGAGATCAAAACACTCCGAGTCACGGAAGGGGGCAATGACCCCAGCTGAATGCCATCCGCTGCCACAATGACAGCCCAGCTCCTGGAAGTCTCAGCACAGTTTGATTTACGTATCTTTGCTTTCCACTTCCACTCCAAACTTGCATAAAACTGGTGAGTGCTGTTAAATAGTTACTTCCCACCACAAAAAAAAAAAAAAAAAAAAAAAGAGGCCTTAAAAGGCCTTTACACGAGGTAACAGTGTTTTTGTCTCTTCATAACAAAGAAACCCATTTCCAAAGCCCCTTAGCAGAGTTCTGCCTGACAGGCCTACTCAAGAGAAAAAGAATTTATCTCAGCTGTCCAGGTCTTTCAGCAAATAGGTGCAAGGTTCCTACCTTGTGTAGCCCAGAAAATGCTGACAGATGCAGAAGTCACATCTTTGCTCTTTACCCAGCTGTTGTTGCGGTGCCTACTCCACGCAGAGATGACACAGAAATAATCCCCTCTGTCACTTTCTGAAGTCCACTGGATTCGTAAACTGAAGGTATCAACAGCCTTTTTAAAGAAGATTATTTCTCCATTCTGAGTCCGCTCTCTGCTCCTGTCCCCAAGCAGCAGAGTCCAGTCTGCATCCATCGTGGCCAGGAGTTCCTCTGCCACCACATCATCACTGGGCAGGCGCTGCCTGTAGTACCAGGAAACTGTGAAGCGGATGTTTGCTTCGGTGTCCTGTGCATTTGTGATCCTGCAATTAAGCTCTGTGGGGTCATCTGAAAACTTGGGTGTTTTAGAGGCATTTAGAAACACCTCATAGTCTGGCTCTGCAGGAGAGGAAAACCAGAAGAAAGAGGTTAGAAGCTACAAGCAGAAGGGAGAAAGTGCCAGAGCTTATTATGAGATAATGCTAACTTCTAACATCCAGTCTGTGAACGCACTTGAGTTAGAAGCCAAGTGCCATGATATGCATTTTTCTTACAAGACTTGGGGGCTGGGAACTTGGGCTTCAGCTCTCAGACTTGCAGCAGTCTGACACAAGTAACCCTAGAGACCTGCATTTCCAAACAAGACCTTTTGTTTCGTGTGTCTAGTCAGACCATTTCACAAAAATCAGGACTAAGAGATCCTGTTGAGCAAATTCATTCCCTTCTTTAGGCCTGGCCCCAAGAACCCACCGTGTGGGTGCAGTTTCAGCCCAGCCAGTCACCTTCTGCACCTGTTCAAATGCCTGGGGCAGTCTGCAGCAACAGAAGACTGGTTATTCTCTGGCTTTGGACTGACCAGACACACCCCATTTCCCCAGTTTCTCTCCAGGATAAGAGGCCATTTCCCATCCTGAAATGCCTTTTTTCCCCCACATGTAACCATCCCATCATGTCTCTACAATACAGTCTGAGAATGTTAAAAAACACCACCAAAACCAAACACCTCACCCACCCAGACACCAAAACCAGAAGGCATGAGTACCACCATCAGCACTGACCACAGGCAGCACCACTAGTGGTGCACAGTAAATTTCAGCAGGCAGCGTAATAGTACTAAGTAGGTTAAGAGTCAAAGATGCATAGATCAGAAGAGCTTCACAGTCTGTACAGAGAAGTACATGCTGTACAACTATGAGGCTGGAAGACCTCAAGCTTGAAAAGGAGTGCCTGAAATTCATGGGTTAAGAACAGGGCTGTTGTATTTAAATCTGAAATAGCTGGCTGTCCAAAGCCTAAAAGCGACAAGGCAGCCGCATGACTATTTTCTCTCAGACTACAGAAATAGTAAAGGGAAAAGATTACAGCAAGAACCTCATACCACAAAGGAAATACATATTTATTTACTAGTGTTAGAATATTTTTCTGCCTTGCTGTCTACTATAATTCAGAAAAAAAGACTAGCTTTCCAACTGTTCGGCCAATACTCATCACACGGCTTTTACATCGTAAGTGTATTCAGTGCTCTGTATTTATTTCTTGCTTTATGTTTTATTTGGCATTTTGCCCTCCTAGAAACAATTAACTGAAGCTATAATTGGGACAGAGAAGACAATCCAAGGCAAAAAATTCAGGCTTAGCTCACCAATGAGCCAAGATAATAAGGCATCTTAATAGGCTGCGCAAACTGTGCATGCACATGCACTTTTGGACTTCAGATGCAAAGGATAAATTGTATCAAACAAGCTGGCTGCTGCTATGTTAGCTTGCAGAAAAGCTCTCTCACCATTGTTACACATGCAGTGTCCTTGCATCTAGCAAGAACAAAGGCATTAATACACACCAGACACTAGAGTAGCTAATGATAGTGATGGTGAGTTTCTGCAGCGGTAGGTAACATGCAAACATAAAACTACTGTTTATATAAGTCTGTAGTACCTACTAACAATGAACATAAGTGCAGATCTCTGCACATTTTCAGTATTAAGGCAAAATAAAAAGAAACTCCACAGAATTCCTCTGCTGCAACCAAGGCATAGATTATTAATGGTGGCAAAACCCACTTTTGGTGTAAGTCCCCATAGATCCTACAGCTACACTACTCTTCCTGTCTCATTCACAAAAGACTAGTCTTCTCCAGGGCCTCTTGATATATTGCTCACGCTCTATTTTCTTATCATTACCCCTCCCCTCTCCTTCCCCCCCCCAAAAAAGAAGGCATTCAAGACCAATTAATATTTTCACCACAACGGAGACTATGAAAGCAGAAACTCTTCTCTAGACAGGAACACAAGGAAAAAGCTGCAAGAAACTCAAGTTCTTAGAAAATCACTTCAGGTTTGTTTTATTTGCGGGCAGGGGAAGGACTGCTAGAAGAGAGTTCTGGCTTTGACAGCACCACTCCACGTAGGCACTTCACCCTGACAGACACTAAAACAGAGGATTTAAAAAGAATAAAAGGCTGGCTGGATAAACCTCATTCCTCCACTCTGTCAGCTGTCAAAGAACAGCCTCACTGACAGTTCAATGACTTAATACTCCAGCAGCTCTTAACTTCCATTAAGGAGGAGGAGGAGGAGGAAGTGAATTCTGGATGCAGTTGAAAACCTCAAATACTGAAAATTTATTCTACTTTTCCTTGCCCTAGCAACCAAGCATCTGCTGAAGAGCAGATTTTATTCTCTCCTGTTCCCAAAAAATGCCACACTGGAATGGAGAGTAAGGAACAGTCTTACAGGTACAGGCACCATGAAAGAGTACATGAGCATGCAGTGCACTTGTGCACACATGTTCATGTGTGCATGCATGCACACAAGTGGGGGAAGGAGGGAACACTCCCAAGTTGAATGTGCAATTTGAATGGCTGAACAAGGACGGGACATGAAGACATTAATCACTTGTGCACTTCTAGCACACGTTACAAGTATTCCTGGAAACAGCCACGGCTCAACTGCTCTGTACAATGCTAAAATGCAAAATTTAAAGTCATTGTCACTGGGATTTAACCTTGTAACACAGCTATTTATTTCTGAAAACCAGGCTTCAGAGCAGGCTCTCTATATGCTAGTCTCATTCAGTACTTTTGTGTTGGAGGAGCTCTGCCTTTGTAACTAGACAGTACCACCAATTTCTGATGACAAGAGGCTCTGAACGGGTACATTGAGAGGGTTTAGGCCCAGATACTTGCATCCAGTCAAAGCTGGGAACAAACATGAAGTATTACGGTTCTGCCAGCTCTCTCCCAGATCCCATCTAGGTTCATTTGTGCTTCCACGACAACCAATACTTCATGTATTTTAGCAGGTGCAGGCAGATACCTTACCTACAGCATCCTGCAACACCATCCTGAGTTTCATTGCTTCTAAATTGAAGCTATTCTCTCCCAAAGATTAAACTAGGAGACAGGATGGGTACGCTGACATATCTAGACCTATTCCTAAAACTACAGTTATTTTAGATGTTTTGCTGGAGTTTCATTTTTAGTATTTCTCCCAAGTAACTTTACTTCTAAGGATATCTGCATAAAGAGAGATGTCCAGAGCTTACGAGTTCAACGGGGATAATGCAAAGCAAAAGCTTTACAACCTGCAGCATGCATATGAGACAGTGGATCTCCAAAAGAGATTTATCTTGGAAAAAGGGTATAGGGAAATACACTGTCAGCCTGCTCTTGTAGGCCAGGTAGATCAGGTAAGCCTGTTGAATCTCTTACCTACAGCTTCTGTTCCTCATTCAGTCAACAAGTCTTAAATGAACAACTGTCAAACACAGCTGCTTCTAACCAGCCCCTTGCAAATAAAGTGGACATTGACAGTATCAGAGCTGTAAGAAGGGAAAACCACCAAGAACAACTGGGGATAAAGGAAGGAGAGAATAAAGAGATCATCAAGTTTCTGTTTAAGCAAATTTTTTTTCCCCCACTGGTGAATTGAAAGAACTTGCTGCAGAAATGCTGAAGTAACACATGGAAGCTCTAACTTCAAGTGCACAAATAATCCCTTCCTTGTCCAAAAGGCTAAAAATCCACTCATCTCTAGAACTGAATCATGAAAAATGCACCACACTGAGTGGGATTTTAAATACTGCAGGAAAATCTGTTTTAGTGGCCACTATGCTAATCAATACTGCTAGCATCAAGTTAGCTGTTAGCCACAAGCCAGGTCTCTCAGTCACACTACTCAACAGCTATGTCATAAATTGGACTTGCATGTTGAGGGAAAAGAATAAAGCAGTATAAAACTCATGTTCCATTCTAAATCCATCAGTAGGATTTGGTGTGTCTCTAGCGATTAAAGCAACAAAACAAAAGCCCAACAGCTTTGAAAGCTATTAGAGTTCATTATGAAGTTTCCATTATAAATAATTTTTATGGCATAACTCAAAAATCAGGGGAAGCATCTGACATCACTGAGAGCTCAGAGAGAATGCCTGTTGCTGTATCAGAGCCCTGCTTATGGTATAAGGACATGATGACAATAGGGGCAGCTTCAGCCCCTGGAAAATGAGGCAGGCTTTTATGTTTCCCAATTGCAGACTGTTCAATGACACCAGAAAGTGGAGCGCGTGGGTGGGACACATGGTAAGAGACCCTAAACCCCTACAATGTACAACCCCAAAACCCCATAGGATAGATCAGTATTTTTATATGTAAGAGAGAGATACCCTACACGTAGATGACAGATGCAAATGAGAAAGAGACATGTACAGAAGATATTCTTCCCTTTTTTGACAGGGCCAAGAAATGAGTGGTACATTACCCATGAAGTCTGAAAGCAGAATCACTCACCTAACGCTGTCACCACCACACTGACTGGTGCAGATGTCCTCTCCACCACCTTATGCCAGCTCCCATCGTGCAGTGGTACCCAGACAGCTGCTTGGCAGAAGTAGTAGCCAGAGTCTTCCACATCCACATCACGCACCAACAGGCGATAGGAGTTCCTATCTACGTGGCTCAGGCTGATGAGAGTTGAATCACTGACAACAGAATCACGGTCCATGCTCAGCAAAACCTGAGCATCTGACAAGGTATCATCAGGTGATGCAGAAAAATACCACGTCACCTCCGCTTGGAAAATACCACTCCTGTCTGTTGTGATGTTGCATGTAAGATCCAGGGAGTCTCTTTCAGTCACAGACACATTGCTTGTTGAGATGACCACATCTAGAGCTTAGAAATGAAGAGACAAAAATTCAAACAAAAAAGACTATTTTTTAATTGTTTGTTTTTGTTTTTGTTTTTAAAAAAAAGAATCCACTGTAAGAGCTCCTCAAACAGAACAGATTTAGGTGAGAAGCAACCACAGGCACATGTTGGAGTCCTGACTGACCTCAGCTGCATTGCAGAAATGCTAAATGGAAGCAAACAGAAGGCAGCAATAACTCCTTATACTGTTGGCTCCTCCACTTACTGCTCTGACCAACACACACTGTGGCTTTTAAAGCAATGCCAATAGGCAATTAAAACACATTTAACAAACTTCTCCACTAGCCAGTGAATATTTTTAATGTACATAGCACATATGGGCATAGCCAGCATTCAGATAGGACCTTCTGCATTCTGTAGGTTACCAGGCTGGCCACAGCTTCGTTAAAAGAAAGCCATGGGATGAAAGTGTCAAGACCAGGAGTAGAAAAGCTGTCCTTAGTTACTGGTGAGAAGTGAACCAGGAGCACTTTGTTTGTAAACTTTGTCATTTGCAAATCATTCATCGAGTTACCTGGCCACAACATGCTCATTGCCTCATTCTACATTGCCTAAAGATTAGATTTGGATCTCAGTGCAGCACCATTCCCACAGTGTGTAACGCAGCTGCTATTCAAGCCTCAACTGAGGCCAGTAGACAGGTCTGCCACAGCAGTGGCTCTCCTCAGCAGACCTATGCCAAGACCATGAGCAAGAATACAGATTCCTGCCTTAAACAGGCAGCTGTCTCTGGTGCAGATTAGTGACTTCACTGTAAAACCATGTACCTACCTATAAAAGCTTTCTAGGATTACCATCAGGAATGAGACACAACATATAAAGGCCAGAGTCAAACTGAGCAGCCACAACTATTGCCAATAAAACCAAGCAATACTCATCTCACTGCTCACCACCTGATAGCACAGAGCAGTCAAACTGCACAGGGGGTAGTAAGCCCCACCCAAGTGGTAAAGCAAAGTCCACTCACTGTCTGATGAGTATCTCATTGGGATTTCCCTCACTGTCTTATCATGGGATTGGAATCAGTAGGAAAGCCTAGTTAATTTAACAGGCTAATATCAGAATACAAAATAAGACTCATCTGCAAGGTTAAGAGCAGCATTTCTCCAAGGAACAATTCTGTCTTCATGAAATAGTGACAGGCATTCAGAATCTGGCAGTGTATGCATACAGAAGGACTCTAAGAGAGTTTACTCATATGTATATTCTCAATGCTCCTTTTTTGGTTACAGACAGGGCTGAAGGCCTCACTTCGGCTTATATATCTATTGTGCAAGGCACTATTAAAAAAAGACATACGAGAACAAAGTCAGGCTCAAAGATTTCATGGTTTTAAGAGATGAAAATGATGGGCAAGGGGATAGAAGAGCAACAACAGAAAAAACCCCACACAGTAACCTGTATGACTTTTTTCATTAGATATGTTAATTCATCGTTTGGCTTGCTTCATTTTTGTGGGGTTTTGTTTGTTTCTTTAATTTTGTTTCTACAAATTCAACCCCACAGTTTACAGCAGGTGATAATGAGGGAAGTGCAGCAACCAGGCTTACTACTTACAGCTCAAGTTCATTTCAGCATGCAAGTGCAGAGGTTTTGGATGTCAGCACAAAATACACTTTAAGTCCTGCTACAGGATGTGTGGGTAAAAATTTCCACAACATTTTGCTGGAGAATAACCTCTCCCATTTAGCATAACTTTAAAAAAAAGCCTTTGTGCCTCAACAAAGTGCTCCCAACGATTGAGCTAAAAATGAAGGCAAAAAAACCCTAAACAGAAAAACCACAAACAAAACCGCACACCCAAACCACATCAAAAAAAACTTCACTACTACTACTTGTCCTGGCCATCCTCACAGTTTTCAGCCACTGATTAAATCCCACCTACTTAAACCAAACTCTCTAAAAATATGACAAAATAGATAATTACAGCTCTTAATTAAGCAAGCCCTGCATCAGCAGAGAGCATCTGCAAGCTTTGTTGTGTAACAGACACCCTGAAAGAGGAGGCAGATTGGTCCTGTCAAATTTCACAGGCTAAGTACCACTATGATACTAAAAGTACATCCAAATGAGCTAGCCCAAATACCCAGCAGTTCTGGGTTCTCCCTATAGTAATTAAAAGATTACAAAAACCAAAAAGATACCCTTACTGTCTGAATACTTCTAAAATATCATCATAATCTCACATTTCTGAAAGACCATCATTGCCTGTTTTTCCACCTACTGTGTGACAAGATGCATCACCCCTCTCTTTCCTCCTCCAACTAGCAGTGGTAATGCTAATGTAACTAAGTGCTTAGTGCAACTACTCCTGAAATCTGTACAGGCAGGGGTATCTGGATATCCTCAGCACAGCACTATATGTATTTTTGTCTCCTTAATCAAGCATGCAATGATGTGTTAATAGAACCACTACTGTCCTAGACCTCCACCAACACAGCAGAGCAATCAGACCAGTGATCCAGTGTCAGTGATAAAAATCACTGGATAATTTATCCTGTTAAATTATCACTGCCTTCCTCCTTTCTCTTGATCTTTCTATGCTATTTTAATAAACAAAACACAGAAATGTTTCACATCTGTCACTGAATCACAAGCCACTTTTACAGAGGAAGTGCAGCTGTTTAGTACTATAGGACAACCCTATGTTAATGAGAGAGCAGAGGGAAGGTTTTGGGTACTTAGGGCTTTAAGAAATATAAAAACCAGAAGCAATCTTAAGCAAACTTAAGGATGAGATAAAATCTAGGTCTAGGCATCTAAGAGGTTCCAGTCAATCCTTCCATGCCATCATGTCCCCTTCTCCCTGAAATAAAAGCTAGAAAAGTTATGCCAAGCATTTTCTGTTGACCCAGACAAACAAGCCAGCATTCTAGGTTCTCCTGGAATGTAGTCTCAGTTACCCATTCAGTTTACCCAATTTCTGTTCTCAAAGTATCACAGTCTGGACACAGCACTGCTGTAGCCAAGACCTGTGACCCCAGCCCATCAGCAGCACTCACCAGTCCGTTGGATTGTCACAGTTGCTATCTCCACACTCTTCTCCTGAATCTTCTGCCATGAGCTGTCTGCCCCTCTCACCCACTCGCTCACAAGACACCTGTAGGCACCCCCATCCACCGATGAGGCCTGGGATACAGATAACTGATACGTGTCATTCGCTCCTGTGTCCAAGCGGATATCTCCATTACGGTAGCGCTCTTCATAGCCAGGACCCAGCTGGAATTTGCCCTCATGAGTCAAAGATAAGATGTCCTGCCAAGCCAATCCACTTTTGATCTGCCAAGTCACATGCAGGTGAGTGTGCTCCGGTGAGGTGGTAATTGCTGAGCAGCGCAACTTGAAGGAATCACCCTCAGACAACCCGAGAGACGTTGAAGAATGTGCTTTTGAACTACTCACCGATAAGCCATCGGAAATCACTATTAAAAAGAAAAGAAGACCAAAAGACACATGCATCATTAAACAGAAGCAAGAAGAGAACACCCACACTGACCTGTTCAGATATGAGGCAGCAAAACTACCACAGAGCAACACCTGGCCAATCATTCCTTCTTCCACACATAAATATTAGAGGAACCAGGAAATTCAGCTGAAAATCCATTAAAGGAAGTGCTCCACTTTAAACCAAACAAGATAAGCATTCAAATTCATTTATCCTTCCTCTCACTTAGTTTTTCATTCAAGCATCATCATTCTGATTATTCCCATCCAGAATCATCTTGATTTTCATGGGAGTAAAAGATAAGGCACTTGAAGAAAATAGTCTCCCACGTTATTACTGAAGAACCGTACAGGAGAGAGCAAAGCTAGGGCATGACTGCAGTATCAACATGCGAAAGGGGAAAAGGAAGATTACCTCCTTCATATAGAAAGATCCCTAAATGACATTATAAGTAAGAGAGAGAAGACAGGCTGTGTTTTTTACCTTAAGTTCACCTCTCCACCCAGAGGCTTAGGGACATTAAATATCTGCAGACATCTTCAGAAAAACCACAGCTTAGTTTTCCCATTTTTATTTACATATTTACTATACAGAAAAAAAAGAAAGTGGTGTTTACAGCACACAGCCTCTCTTTGCTTCTTCACCTCACTTGCCTTTGCTATCATACTTCTCTTTTTATTTTGGATTTAGGAGAATTAAACAGGAACAGGAAGAAGAAAAAAAAACCTACAATGCTCATAAGCAGCAAAAATTCAACATTCTTAAGGGTACATCTATAGTCAATACAAAAACAAATTTAAAGCACACCTCACTCTTCAGAAATACCTTTCACTTGGACCTCTGCATCATAATTTCCCTGAACGGTGGCATCAGTGCTGGGCGTGGTGCATTTGTATCTCCCTTGGTCAGTTGGCTGGATGTTTCTAATCACAAGTTCCACAGCATCGTTGCTGCTCCGTCTCAGTTTGATATCCCCGTGGCCCACACGGTTTTGGTACTCCTCAGAGGTGAATGTAGAATCCCAGGTACTCACTATCCGTACAAAGTCAGTCTCCCGGGAGAACTCCCAGTCAAAGTTCTGTTCACTGGGTCCATCATAGTCACTAACGCTGCAAGGGATCACCACCTCCGTGCCCATGACTCGAATAAGAGGACCTTTGGGCACCCTCACGATACGCCCTCTGCAGAAAGCTAGGCAGGAGAATAAAGAGAGAGAGAACACACAGTTAACGAAAGAGTTAGCAGGATAGACTTTGACAAAAAAAAAAAAAAAAAAAAAAGAAGAAACAGAATAAGGTTGGGCACCCCACTCTGCAGAAAGCTAGAACTAGTAAGAGCAATATTTCCCATTAACTTTTAATCTCACTGGAGCAGGAGCCCCTAAACACCATTTTTAGTGGGGGCAATTTTGTTTCATTGCTTATTTAATAATACATTAGGTAACAAAATACTGTAGGAGAGAAGTAGCCATAGATCCAATGGGTAGCAGTTTCTCTACTACAAGGCAAGTACTATGGTAAGACACTTAACCTTAATAAGTGGTTTTCATCACAACAGTGAGGGCATAATCTAATCAAGCATTTTTATAAATCATCTGCTGACATCAGCAGAGCATTTGAAGTAGGAAACTAATTCTCCTCTAGCTTGAGGGCCATAAGAATGGTAAGTTGACATTCTCCAAAAATGACACAGTCAATTCTGCCCTGAAAGGCTTCTCTAACACAGGTGAGCTTCCTTGCCTTCGTAATTGATTTAAAGGGAAGAAACCATTTCAACAGGCACAGTTTTGCTTGAACAGATTTCTGCAACTACACCTGTTTCTAGCACACATCTCCTCTTTGGTGGAAGTCCCAGAACATGGGAGCACGAGCAGAGCAGGCTTCCTCCAGAGTTGAGGAACACACAGTGTTCAGACCATGTTTTCTGGGACTGTCTCGCTAGAAGGACATAACGGCAACAGCAGTTCACTGCAGAAGGCTAGCAAAGCAGTATGTTATGCTCCTGGCAAAAGTGTGAACCACTTAAACTAGCCAGAAGACCTGTCAAAGACACAGCAGGAGACTTTCTGGTTGATTTGGCTCTGTAGCCCAAAGAATAACCCCGGCAGCTGCACATGGATTTTGGCAGGTTCTTACTTCCCAGAAAAGCAAACTGCTTTGATTCATAGTTCCAACCAGAGAAACCTTTTCAGAAAGAGGGTACTACCTAAACTCAGTCTCCAAAAATGAATAGGCTACAACATCCCATCAGCTCCATATCAATAGTAAACTATTTTAGCAGCCAAGTAGAACAAGAGATGCTAGACCACTGAAGGACAGATCCTGCTAAAACTAAGTAGATAGCCACAACATCATCAAAAACAGTTGGACCAAAAGGTTGATCTGAGATACCACAGACAAAACCAAGTTTAAACAAACAGCCCCCCAATACACAAAGTCCAGCAAAGCACAACTGCTCTAATTCACCAGCTAGTGACATGAACACCAGTATACTTGCTGAGTCTTCCCCTCCTATAACTCTGTGTCTTCTTGCTGTAGATTAAGACCCCACTCACTGGCTCAGAACCATCATGCCAATAGGTATCCAGGTGTGAGCAAAGAAGTTAGTCTCATGGAGAGAAACCACCCACTGAGGAACCTGTAATAAAATGCAGCTTCTCCCCTCCAGAGCAGCATGGAGAAGGACGTGTTAAAGAATTAAGATTTCTGCGGGCATTTAAAAACTACACAAGCAGCTATACACACTGAGCATAACTACAAGAGAAAAAGTATATTTTTATCCCCAGTTACAGTTCAGCAAACGGTTGAACCAAGGACTGACACTGTCTTTACCTCCCCTGTTCATAACTCCCAACGTGCTCTTCGCTTTGCAGGCTGTTCATGTGTACAGGCTCAGTCATAATAGTCAAATTTCCTCATTGCCATGACTTTCTGTATTCAACATTAGTACTTCATTAAACTTATTTGTAATGCAGACTGGGGTTAATCTCTTACCCCTTATATCCCTCCCAGAAGATGGTTATTATGGACCTGATCAAGTGACTGACTAGTCCTAGTAAGGAAACTGGACTTCTCTGCACCATTCACATGGGAATCAGAGAGGAAAAACCTCCACTGCCTATGCATAGTTCCACAACCAGATGTCTTTAAGCACATCTCTCTAAACACAAGCACCATATAGTAAAGTCATTGATACAGAACAATAACCAACAAAAAATAAAGCAAGCTGCAGGGCTCCAACGTATTTCCTCACTAGGTCTTAATTGCAGCCCCATTCAATCCTTCAACTTATCCTCTTACAGAAACCAGTAACAGCAGCAGGTAAGCTTTAAAGCACTCCCTGACAGCCAAAACAGCTTCCAGCAGACCACTGTGAGAAGTCAGCTCAGGATCCTGACTGAGGGCATTCTTCAAATGCTGACAGCTCTCCAGCAAATACTCTCCTCTGACACTAAAACAAGCAGACAACACTGTTCCACATGTGTCTTCAGCTGTAGACCCACATGCCGTGCGCCGCACTAATCCAATCTAGAGGTGACAAAGGCATGACTAATGTGGCAAGGGCTGCACATTTGTGTTTGAAATTAGCACCAACAGCTCAGTTCTCTTCTTCCAAGGTCACTAAAGAACCTTTGACACTAAATGAAGGTTGGGGGTGATTAGCACCTTCATAAGAGAAGGCAGGCCAAAGGGAAAGATAGGGGCACAGGGACTCCTCAACAGGTCTGTTCAGAGCCTGTACCCTATTGCTGTAGAACAATGAGTATCCCTCTCCTCACAGCACAGTCCCACAAGCAATTCCAGTTTAACACACAAGTTGGCAGGAAGGTGGGGAAAAAGGCTGCAGGAGAGAAAAGGGACAGCCTGTAACAGTTATGATTTTACACTTTACAAAAGAGTAACATTTGTTACTGCTAAGATAAACTAGGATTCTCACAAGGCAAGAGCACACAAGGACAGCATCACAAGACAAGAGAATGAGAACCAACTGCAGAGCACCTGCTGTGCCCTGCCCACAGGTAAGGAGGAACACGCACAGGGCAGGCACTCCAAGGGTGAGCTGCACTTCTAGGTAACCCAGGAGCTCAGTATTTAGCAAGCTGTGAATTCAGGGTTCTGCCTTTTGTCCTGCAGCGGATGACAGCAAGAGCATCCCTAGCTGCTAAACAAGGTGTTATGTTCTTTGCTGTGCATCAGGGATTAACATTTCATGTAACTGTAGCAGAAGGCACAGAGCTACAGATACTGATCTTGGCAAGAGGTGAGCTCCATTTTACTCTGGCAGATAAATGAGGAGCTTTTACAAATATTTTATTCTTGCAGCGCCCCATGTTACTCACACTCCCTCCACCTTTCTGTAGTTCAGCTGTATGGTACAAGAGCTTCAAACTGTAAATTTGTTGGAAACATTTATTTTTCATGACACCTAATATATTTCACTGTTAATATAAGCCGACATAGTCTTAATGAATTCACTTGAATCCCATTTAACTGTAGAAACAGATGGAGCAGGAAAGAACAGTGTATACACTAGTGACAGAAAACAACAGAACTTTGACAACCCAGTATTTTTCAGTATCACTGAGACCACCAGAGATGTGTATTTAGTAGAAACTCAATAACTGGCTCTGTATCATAAACTGCAATGCTGGACATCAAACCTGCCTGAGCACAAGATTAATTGCCTAAATACAAAACTTTATTTTTAAAGAGCTGCCAGACAGCCAGATGAAATTGCAAGGAACTGTTTTCCGAAACTAAAAGTAATGGAGCACCTGTAAGGAGGCGAGCACACAAACACAAAGGATGGGACTTGTTCTTTGAGCTCGTTAGACAGGTGACAGGACTACCAGGCAACACTGGTGCTTTTGCAGGGCTGGACCAGAAACACCCGAAAAAATAGGACAACCACAGGAGCCTTCATGGCTGTTTGTCAAGCACTTGGTTAGAGGACTCTCTCAAGGGAATGCATGAAATACTCCACCAGGAACATGGGCAAAGTGTGGCTCAAGGTAGAATAATAAACTGGGGCCTGCCATTTTAATAATAACAGAGGCAAGATAGCCCAGACATAGCCTGGGTAGTTTTGAGCCAGTGTTTGTTCCTTAGCAGTGGTCCATGAAGTACTTAAATTAATTTGTCCCATCACCTAGATGCACCATCTCACTGCTGTCATTAGATGAAATCCTTTCAAAGAGAACAAGGAAAGCAGATGACTGAATAGATAGGTTGTGAAGTCAATCCAAGTACATTAAATAGCAACCTGTCATTTTTAGGATAACCAAGAAAACAAGGCAGCAAAATTGTGCAGGATCTACAGAACAGGTGGTCTGTTTAAACTCAACAAACTACACAACTCCTCAAGGAAAGAGCTGGTGAGGATTTCCTCTTGCATTAGGGACATTGCTACAGATGAGGAAAATCTTCTAGGAGCTTCATCTTCGCACAGGTTTTGCATCTACATATCATGTACGAAAGAAGGTAAGTAGTAATCTGTAGAGTCACCCACAAGGTATTACCATTGCAAAGAACTCACTTCTGCTTCAGCACTCTCTTACACAAGATGCTTCCTCCAGCCTGTGCTAGACAGCTTTATCTAATAAGAAAACACGTTCTCTTAGCAGCCCAGAGAAGGAGGTCGACTCTCTACATCCGCCAGCCAAAGGAAAATGCAACGTGACACACAGTAGGAAGCCAATTAAAGCCAAAAAAGTAAGAGCTGAAGAATAAGTAAATTGACTAAGTACTGGAGTCTCCATCAGAAAGACTTAGGACACACAGTCTAACTCCTCAACCAAGGCAGTCACAGGAGACATAGCGACAACTTTGCTGATGCTTTCATCTCAGAAGAGCTTTCTAAACAAAAGGTTGTTTCATTTGCCAACTAAACATTACCATGTCTGGGAAGGAAATACAGCAGCCCTGTCAAATTCACAGCAGTTTATGACAGGAAAAAAAATACTGCAGCCAACTTTGCAAATGGTGGTAATGATCTTCCCTCCCTGAACTCCTCCATTTATTTTCAATCTAGGCACCACTTTGCTGCAGCACTGCATAAATGAGGTGGTTGAGCAGGGACAACCCTTCTTGCGCCACACTGGAGAATAAGCAATGGATTGCCCACCATTAAAGCTGTGCACTCTGCCTCCTATTTCTAGCAAAATCCCCAATCTCCCACTCCTTACTGCGCTGCTTAACTATAGCGTTTGTGACGCATGAAGCCATTTTACAAAATGGAGGGAAAAAAGATTTTATTTTTGCATTTTTTTTGTCCCGCCAAAGAGACTGCCCACACAAACTCTCTTCCTCCATTTTGAAAGAGAACTGATCAGGCTCCCGCTAGGAGGCATTGAGTGACTTTCCCTAGCAAGCAGGCAGGCAAAGGGACAGACAGCATGCCACACATCCACAGGCTCTTCTCTAGGAAAGGAGAACCAAAGCATATCAGCATGGGAGATTATAGTCCTTATCTCCAATTTTTCCCTTTCCCTCTTGCCTCTCCTCCCAGCTCCAATTATCATAATGCAGCTCCACATCAAGAATGTCATCCACGACTATCTGGGAGATAAAGTTACAACAAACATGCCTACAATATTTGAAAACCTTTCAATACTGTTAACACAATTATTTTGTTTTTTAAATATGTAACAATTTTCCTACAAGTGGCACATTTACACAAACAGCATGTTGCTTTGGGATTTCCCCCCTTTTTAAATGCAACCAATTAAATTGCCTATCCTACACTGTATGAGAGGAAAAATCAGAGAGATTAAGCAGAATAAAAGGAAATTCTTTAAGTACCAGAAATGCAGCTAGCTATTGAAATTTCTTTACTGGTCTCAAAAAGAAAAGAAAAAAAAAATCTAAGCAATAACTTTTAACTGCTTAACACACATTGTCATCATCCTCTTCTTTCCAGTGCAAACACACAGTAGGTGTTGGGATCTGTACTAAATAAAGTGGTAGGCACTTGCTACTCTTTCCAAATCACAAACTTCAGTCACCCCAATCAGCAGAAGCAACCCACACCTTACAACCAGACAGCCTGCACTGGGAGGGAACAAGGGGTTCTTTAAAGAGAGACCAAATTTGATTCCTTATGTCAAAGCTGTAATCACCATAGTAGCCCAGAACCACCTGAAGCACGCAGGGCTCCCTGCATACCTTGCAAGTCCACACTACTGTTACACCTCCCTGATTGCAATACTCCCTGCCTAAAAAAAGACTGATAGATTTTTATGGCCTGGAAGATCTGCTGCATATCATCTGAAGATATCAGAGAAGAGTGAATGAAAGAGTCCATGAGAGAGAGATTTACATTGTTCTTTCCCAGGCGGCTATGATTCTTTTTTTAGATAATGTAGAGCTCTTATCAAAAGGAATTAGCCTGGGTATAATTGCTTAAAACCCATTATCTCTATCAGGATGAAGAAACGCATACTGCATCTTAAGTGAAGCCTCAGAAATGCTATCAAATTGCAAGGTCGCAGGATTGCTCTCATCTCCATGCCATCTGAGATACCTCAGAAAAGCCACATCTCCAGCTCTGGGTGAAAAAGCAAGTACCTTCCCAGTTGGACTCCATCTACACCATGTGGATTAAGATTCACACGAAAGGATTAAAACAACATATTTTGCAGGACAGTAACAACCTGCTGTCTTTCCTATTCACCCCCCTCACCCATGACCCCCAAGAAAAGGGATTTCAAATGCACCTAAGCAAACCACAAGGCTTTCACTAGGACACAGTTCTCAGTTATCATAGAACCACAGAATGGGTTGGGTTGGAAGGGACCTTTAAAGATCATCTAATTCCAACCCCTGCTGAGGGCAGGGACATCTTTCACTAGACCAGTTGCTCAGAGCCCATCCAGCCTGGCCTTGAAGACTTCCAGGGAGGGGGTAGCCACAACTTCTCCTGACAACATGTTCCAGTGTTTCACCACCCTCATCATAAAGAGTTTCTTCCTTATGTCCAATCTAAACCTACTCTCTTTCAGTTTAAAAGCATTGCCCCTTGTCCTGTCACTACAGGCCCTGGTAAAAAGACTCTCTCCATCTTTCTTACAAGCCCCCTTTTATTGAAAGGCTGCAATAAGGTTTCCCTGGAGCCTTCTCTTCTCCAGACTGAACAACCCAAACTTTCTCAGCCATTCTCCATAGGAGAGGTGTTCCAGCCCTCCTCTGGACCTGCTCTAACAGGTCCATGCCTTTCTTGTGCTGGGGGCCCCAGAACTGGATGCAGTACTCCAGGTGGCATCTCACCAGAGCAGAAGTGAAGAATCACCTCCCTCGATCTGCTGGCCACACTTCTTTTCATGCAGCCCAGAATATAATTGGCCTTCTGGGCTGCGAGTGCACATTGCCTGCCCATGTCCAAATTCTCATCCACGAGTATCCCCTGTCCTTCTCCACATGGCTGCTCTCAATCCATTCATCCCCCATCCTGTACTGATATTGGGAATTCCTCCAACCCAGGTGCAGGATCTTGCACTTGACCATGTTGAACCTCATGAGGTTCACATGGGCCCACTCCTTAAGCCTGTGAGGGTCCCTCTGGATGGCATCCTTCCCTGTAGCAAATCAACTGCACTACTCAGGTTGGTGTTGCCCACAAACTCATTGAGGGTGCACTCAGTCCCACTATGTCACTAATGAAGTCGTTAACAGTACCAGTCTTAATATAGACCCTTGAGGGACATCACTTTTACTCATCTCCATTTGGACACTGAGCTGTTGATTGCAACTCTCTAGATGCAGCCATCCAACCAATTCCTTACCCACTGAACAGTCCATCCACATCTCTTCAATTTCGGGTCAAGGATGTTGTGTGGGACTATGTCTAAGACTTTACAGAAGTCAAGGTAGATTACATCGGTTGCTCTTTCCTTATTCACCAATGCAATCACTCCATCATAGAAGGACACCAGATTACTCAAGCAGTTGAGTTATGCTATGGTGCATCTTTCCATTTCCAGGAGTCCTTCTGCATAGCTGTTAGATGTTTGC